CCCCAAAACCCCAAAACCCCAAAACCCCAAAACCCCATAATTAGTGGCTAAAATAGAAATTAGGTTAATAAACTTGTGATTATTGTGAATAAATAAAAGAAATGGAAAACACTAACACTCTTCAGGAGGAAACACAAGATAATTCTGTAGTTTCCAACGAACATGAAGCATCCAAGTCTCAAATAGTACTCGCCACTGATGACATGAACATCCAAAAGGCAGGAGAGATCATTAGAAACGGAGGATTAGTCTCCTTTCCAACAGAGACAGTCTATGGATTAGGAGCAAATGCATTCGACAAAGATGCTGCTATCTCTATTTTCACTGCAAAGGAGAGACCAATGACTGACCCTCTTATTTGCCATATTTACCAGAAAGAAGACGCAACGGAGTTAATGGATGAAGATGACCAAGTTAAAGAGATATTCGGACTTTTAGCAGATAGATTTTGGCCAGGCCCTCTTACTATGGTCGTAAAGGCTAATAAAGAGGTTATTTCTCCAGTAATTACAGCTGATACAGGGTATGTTGGGATCAGATGTCCTAATCACCCTGTTGCTTTGAGCTTTATTAAGGAAGCAGGAAGACCAATAGCGGCCCCTTCTGCTAATAAATTTGGCCATGTTAGTCCCACTAAAGCAGAGCATGTTTACAAGGACTTAAAAGATAACAATGTTTACATTATTGATGGAGGCTCTTGTAATTATGGAATTGAATCCACTGTTGTAAAAATTTACCATGAAGAAGATTCTACATCAGAGAATCCTCATATTAAATTACTCATTCTTAGGAGAGGAGGAGTATGCGAAACAGAGCTAAATGCCTTTATTTCCGAGTTCAAGACTAGTAACAAAACCATGAAAATTACTACTGAATGCGTTGAAAAGAAACATTTTACAGAAGAATCTCATAAAATGGAAGCTCCTGGCCAGTTCTTAAGACATTATGCACCTGATTTACCATCTTATATGCTCGCTGGTCAGAGACTTGATGGTAGCGAAGAGTCTCAGCTCCCTCTAGAGATTAGCAAGTGTGTTTTCCTAGATTTCAACAAAGAAAATATCGATCTTAAATCAAAAGTTCTTCTCTATCTAGATTTATCAGAACATGGAGACTATATTGAAGCAATTTCTAGAGTCTATGATTATCTTAGAATCTCTGAGACACAAAAAGAAGGAGAGATGGTGATAATCGCTGATCTAATGAACCCATCTTCCACTCTTGATGAAGGATCTTCCCATAAAGAGCACTCTTCTGCCTTGGCGGATAGACTTTTCAGAGCTGTCTCTGGAAACTCGATCATTGTTAATGAAGACTTCACTCAGTTTGTGAAGTCATCTACCACCTAATTTTAAGAAATAAATTGCCTAAATCCTAGTTTTTGATTAATTCAATAAATTTTAGAAGATTTGGGGTTTTGGGGTTTTGGGGTTTTGGGGTTTTGGGG